GCTAGAAGTGACTTGACATCATGTTTAATGGCAGCCAAAGCTTTAACCTTAATATCGTTCTGCCTGCTTCTTTGATATACTAGATCTCGAGACCTTTCGTCCATTAAACATGTTGGGATATGATGGAAAGTAAAGTAACTTCTTGTATACCTCCAGAAGACGTAAATCACCTCATCAGAAGCATACATTATTGCGAATCCAGCAATATAGCAAAACGTTGCCGCTTCAAAATGTGATCACCGCTTTCCCAGAAAACTGGACATTTGCTCATGCCCAACCTATTCAAAAAAAAAGATCTAAGGCCGACCATTACAACTACATACATGTAGCTTTGCTTTCTGTTATAAGGTGATGGAGAGGTACATAAACCGGGAGCTTCTGGAGTACCTCGAAGGTCTCGGCTTGATCAGCGACAGGCAGTATCGTTTCCGGCACCAGCGATCCACAGAGGACCTCCTACCTTACGTCACGCAACTGTGGAGTAAACTCTATGGTGACAGAAAGATATCCGTAGTAACTGACGGGTTCTCCTCTTCATCCCAAAAGTCAACGCGGGTGCTCCCCAGGGATCGGTCTTGGCTCCGACACTGTTGCATTTCAAATCTGACCAACGATTGGGAGAAACGTCATCTGATTTGAAAATCAAGTATTTAATAAATCTCCTCTGTACTTTCAATTTCACTAGTATAGATTTGGTAATACGGATGCCATGCGCTTGATGCATATTCCAGCTTAGAACGCGCCAAGGTACAGTATAAAGCCTTAGGTGCCGTCTCACTACCAAATGCTTCACAGTTTCTTATACAAAAAAAAACGAGACTTTTCATAGCGGATGATACTATTGTATTAATATGATCTGTAAATTCTAATTTAGCATCAGACAACACCCCTAGATCTCTCACTTCTAAACAACGCATCAAACTGACACATTCCAGTGTGTAAGCAAAAACTTTTGGGTTCGTTTTCCTGGTAAAAGAACAGGTCTTGCACTTGCTAACATTCATCAGTTCAGTTCTGCCAAAAATGCCGTTCATTTCGGATGGTCAGAGTTCAGATCACAGAGGACTTGATGTGGCACGAACACATCTCGTTAATAGCGGCAATTGTTGAGAAAAAGCTAGACCATTTGTTTAGGGCTAATAAGTACTTTTCTCCTCAAGACCTCCTCACTCTGTATAAGGCCCACACAAGACCTAGCCTCTAGTACTGCTCACATCTTATGGGATTTGCTCCCAGAGCTCTCCTCCATGATGCGGCCGAGCGATGTGCCTGCCAGACAGACCCGCCTGACTACGGCCTCCCATCCTAACCGTATCGAGCTTCGTATATACTGAACTGACCGATACGACCGCTTCTTTGTCTCCAGGGTATCGAAATTGTTGAACAATCCACATGAGAAGAACTTTTCCTAGTTCTACTAACCTTAGGCAGTTCAAGAATTGGACTAACAAAGTTTCTTTAAGCTCATCGTGGCATTTAGGCTTCTGCCTTAGCGGCTGCTTATTGTAAACAGATACCTCCCCTTTGCCCTGTCTAACTGTATACAAAATTTCATTCAATACAATCATTTTTCCTGGCTGTTCTATTTTCTTTATCTCTGAGTATATAACAGTACACACAAAATAATCAAAATTAATGCTGCAGTTACTGAGATGAGAAACTTACGAAAACATTAATGAAGATTAGATTCTTGCTCAGATACTCAGACCATTTAGTTTAGTTTAAAATAAACCGAAACGTCAAAGAAAATGTGAAAATGTTTTCATTAATAATAATAATAATAATAATAATAATAATCTTTATTGGTTCTGTAGATCATTTATCATGAAATCATCAGTGGTAAAGGTACTCTATCTTGAAAAGTATCAAAAGCATTCCAAAAATAGATAGATAAAACCAAAAACAATATACCATACATATGAAATATAGGACAGCCACAAAAACAATGAGCAAAGAAATACAACACAATACCTATTAAAATAAGGATTGGCCAAGTTAACAATATATCAATGAATAAATAAGTAAATAAAATACAAAAACCATAAATAATATGCTACAGTTGAAAATGTATACGTATATATGTATATATAATAGTACACTTTGCGTCTTAATCGAGCTTTAAGTTTATGTCTAAATAATGCCACTGGCAAGATTTTAAAAGTGTTTGGCAATTTATTGAACAGCCTAATACACATTTGATTTGGGCTGAATTCTGTTCTCGACAGTCTATGAGCAGGAATCTGCAGGACAAGCGAATTCCTAGTTGAGTACTCATTATGGTCGTTTAACTTTGGAAACATACCCAATTGACTGAAATCATTATTTCGATGAAGATTATTTATTCATAATCACATCTACGTTCCAAGGTAAGATCACCCCCCCAGCTTGTCTCGTAATTACGGATAGGATTTCGTATTCTCAGAATATGTTAATTGATGCTAAAACATACCTCAGTTATGAATATGCGTAGTCAGTGTAATTTCGACAATCCATAGGTAAACTTTGTTGTGTCATAATCCAAAATGACAATGCAGTCGAAGCTATCTCGCTTATCCCAGATTACACAGGTCACTGGTGGCAATTTAAGCCCTAGCGTATTTGCGAAAAGGCTGAAATTAAAATTTAGCTAATTACAGAATGCTGAAAGATGCTTGCACACGATATGTGGAATTTTGGAGATCGGTTAAGTTTCCTCGAAATTTGTTATGCAATTTTTCACTTCTCATCTTCACTTACCCTGGTTGAATGAGTTCGGGTGGAATATTAATCATGCCTCCTGCATTTTTTTCTTGATTCTAGTTTGATCGTATTCGTTAGTTTGTCGAACGTCTACAATTAACACGTTCATGTCGTCAAGGCGTTTGTAAAACTCCTCAGGTGTAAGGAACAATCCTAGAATATAAACTTTCTGATTACCAGAACACAATTAAACATTGTAAAGGACTGGTCTTGCGAATGCGCCCGTCATATTGGTATACCAGGTCTGTGAATTAAGTAATGAGTCTTTTTCTCTTCCCAAAGTTGAAAAATCACTCAAGCGAAATCATTTTGGGATACTCGAAAACACTCGAACGACTGTAATCGACAGAATCCGGAATGTTGTGCGTTCAAATCGACGGTTGACAGACAGAATGATTGGGGAAGAGTTAAATTGGACACACAAAACTATTCATAAGATCAAGAACAACTGGGTGTAGCAGCACTATAATGCTCCTAGTCACACAGCAATGTCAATAAGCGAGTTTTTGGACATTAAAAACATTCATGTTTCTCCTCAGCCTCGTTATTTGCCCGACTTGAGCCCTTGTGACTTTTTTCTCTCCCCGAAATAATTGAAAAATCACCTCAAGGGAACCCATTTTGGGACTCTCGAAAATGCTCAAACGGCTGTAACGGACCAGGCTATTCCAGTATCGGAGTTCCAGCACTGCAATGAGGAGTTGAAGAACCATCTACAGCACATCTACAGCACTGTGTGACTTCAGAAAGAAGTTATTTTGAGGGTGAAAATATACAATTGCAATTATATTTAAATCGAAGAATTTTAAAAAATTGATCTCTACTTAATTTACAGACCACGTACACCCTAGCGTCTCCAAGTTTCCCTTAGAAGTAATAAAAACAAGCTTTATTTTCCTTTTGAAGGAAATTGTTTACTCCTTATCATGGCATCAAGCTCCCTAAGATAAATCACTTCACGTAATTATCCGTAAAATTCCATACTCTCAAAATTCCTCAATTCCGCAACCATAACTCCCGGCAACATTTACGCCACAAGGCTGTGGTCGACAGGTATACATAGTGATCCAAGACCCGGAATGGCAAGGTATTTGAGAATATTAAAGGTAGTATAAATAAAACAGTAGGGATATAATATGTTTTACTAGCTATCCAGTGGTGCCCTTCACTTTGACTTTGAAGATCAAATCAAGGTCAAGCCATTTTTTAATATGATCCGAAACTTTCGACCCCGAAAATGTATAGAGCTAATAGTGCAGTTATGACCTCGTATGGAAATTATGTTGACCTTAAACTTCCTCATCAAGGTCATCATAAAAAAACCTTGGTTCAAAGGAGTGCATGGATCTTTGTAAATACAAATCCTCATTTCCTTCTCAACTTATTCACCGATGACCTTGAACTGAGCTTCACACGACCTTGAAAGTCAAATCAATTATCTTTAATTATACTCCATATTTTTAATCTCAACAGATAAAGCTGAAAAATTCAGATTTGACTTTGTGTGTAAATTATTTTGATCTTAAACATCCTCGTCAAGGTCATCGTAAAAAAACCTTGTTTGAAAGGAGTTCATCGATCTTTCTGAAGATAAAACTTCAATTTTTCTCAGGCCATTCACTGATGACCTTGAAACTGCGCCTCACCACGACCTTGGAGGTTAAATCAACTTTCTTCAATGATACTCTATATTTTTAACCTCAAATAGATAAAGCTTTAAAATTCAGATATGTG